ATTCAACAGATCCATTCAGAGTGAGACTCCAGTAAACGATTCATTGATTCAATTGATTAATTAAGAGTGAGGCTCTAGTGAATGATACACTGATTCAAATGATCAGTTCAAAGTGAGGCTGCAGTAAGCAACTAACTGATTCAAATGATCAGTTCAGAGTGAAAATCTAGTAAACGATTCACTGATTCAAATGGTCAGTTCAGGGTGAGACTCAAAGTAATGATTCACTGAATCAAATGATCAGTTTAGTGAAACTCCAGTAAACGATTCACTGATTAACAATGATCAGTTCAGAGTGAAACTCCAGTAAGAGATTCACTGAATCAAATGATCAGTTCAGGGTGAGATTTAAATTAATTATTCACTGATTCAAATTATCTGCTCAGAGTGACACTCCAGTAAACGATTCACTGATTCAAATGATGAGTTCAGGGTGAGACTCAAACGAATGATTCACTGATTCAAATGATCAGTTCAGAGTGAAACTCCAGTAAACAATTCACTGATCCAAATGATCTGTTCAGAGTGAAACTCCAGTAAGCAATTCACTTATTTAAATGATCAGTTTAGAGTGGAAACTCCAGTAAGAGATTCACTGATTCAAATGATCAGTTCAGGGTGAAACTCAAATGAATGATTCACTGATTCAAATGATCAGTTCAGAGTGAAACTCCAGTAAACGATTCACTGATTCAAATGATCTGTTCAGAGTGAAACTCCAGTAAGAGATTCACTGATTCAAATGATCAGTTCAGGGTGAGACTCAAATTAACCATTCACTGATTCAAATGATTTCTTTAGGGTGAGACTCAAGATAACGATTCACTGATTCAAGTGATCTGTTCAGAGTGAAACTCCAGTAAACGATTCACTGATTCAAATGATCAGTTCAGGGTGAGACTCAAATGAATGATTCACTGATTCGAATGATCAGGTCAGAGTGAAACTCGTGTAAATGATTCACTGATTCAAATCATCAGTTCAGGGTGAGACTCACGATAACGATTCACTGATTTAAAAAAGTTTCAATTTTTATGTGCACTATTTATTTATTTATTTATTTATTTGTCTGTCTGTCTGTCTGTCGTTCATTCATTCATTCAGTCAGTCATTTATAAATGCTTTGTTTAATATAAATATTGCTTTTAACTAAACTTAATAAGAAGCCAAATACAGTATGAAAGACGAAGGCAACAGAAATAGTGAGGAGAGACATAAAGATCTGATCTGGTTTTCTTCCAACTGCAATCCCTCCATTTGTGGCCACTGGAGAATTGCCATCCTGTTCCAGGCGGAAGGTTTTGTTTTAATTTGTTTTGCAGTATTCACTCAAGTATGAAGTTCCCTTTTCTTTACTTTTTCTCCCTTCTTTTTCCTCTACAAGAACGAGTGTGTCTCTTTGATTTATCCATCATGAAGGCACCGCTGAAAGTCTTTGTTCTGGGCTGTTTTGAAGATACAGTAGCACAAGCTCCTCGGTCGGATGTTTTGTTGTACTTCCCTTTCCCTGGACATTCAGAAATGCAGAGAAAGTGCTGTGATAAATCTGAAAGAGCCAAAAAAAATAATCTTCTGAACTAAAGATTCCTAGCCTAAAGCTACAGCTATCTAAGAACACAATATATACAAAAACCCTTAGAGAGAACACACACAAAGCTCAAACACACTGCTTCCTTGTGTGACAACATTGGAAAATCAACAAGCCTGAATCAACAACAAAGCCAGATTACAATTAGCTAAATTAAATTACACTGGGAAAAAAATACTCATGTTTGGAGGCATGTGCTGTGGTCTGATGGAGCTAAGATTGAACTGTTTGGCCATAATGACCAGTGTTAAGTTTAGAGGACAAAGGGGAAAGTGCACAAGCCTACGAACACCATCCCAACTGTGCAGTATGGGGGCGGCAGCATCATGTTGTGGGGCTGTTTTGCTGCAGGAGGGACTGGTCCACTTCACAGCATAGATGGCATCATGAAGAAAGAACATTATGTAGATGATTTTTAACCATTCTCGCTAATGAGGCGCCATGTAAAGAGTGTAAAAATCTGTCATGCGTCCACCGTGGTGGGATGCATATGACTCTTAAAGTCAATGGGAGATGAGATTCTGATTGGTTCAATGCATATTATGCTAAAACACACTCATAACTCATTAAGAAAATAAGGACAACCCTTTTAGATCATGTGCCTGGTGCACAGACTATTTTTCCCCTCCTTAAAATAGAAAAAGTGGATTCTGTGTTAAAATAGAGCACTAGATTTTGACCTGTATTTGGTTATTTTTGTTTCTTATTAATTGTTTATCAGTTCCTAAATGTAAAGAACATGTGATGCTACAACTATAATCTGTAAACAGGGGCCTTGTAGTTTATATTGATATGGAATCAAATAAGTTATTTTAAATCATGCTGCACAATAAAATGTTGTAAAAAGTGTCCTTAGCCAATCCTGTTTACCGTACATCCAAAAGCCACTGCTCACACGGGCAAAATCCGATCGACGCCACAGAGTTTTGCTGCTTATTTAATCAATACCAGTGTTGGTACATCTTAATCCATTTTTAGACTGTTTGCATCACCTGCTCATTCAAAGGAAACACTTTGATCTGTCCTGAGCAGACGCCACTGGAATGTCTTGTTTGGTTTCTTAAAATTGCTTTTAAATGTTAAAGGTTTGGCTGATGATAAGGCATAATAATAATAATAATAATAATAATAACAATAATTGTTATACTAGTACTACTACTAATAATAATAATAAGAAGAAGAAGAATCACCATAAATAATTAATAATAATAATAATAATAATAATCACCATAAATAATAATAATAATAATAATAATAATAATAATAATAAATATTTATAATAATAATAATAATAATAATAATAATAACAATAATAATAACTATAATTGTTATACTAGTACTACTACTAATAATAATAATAAGAAGAAGAATAATGACCATAAATAATTAATAATAATAATAATAATAATAATAATAATCACCATAAATGAGTAATAATAATAATAATAATAATAAATATTAATAATAATAATAATAATAATAATAATAATAATAATAACTATAATTGTTATACTAGTACTACTACTAATAATAATAACAATAAGAAGAAGAATAATCACCATAAATAATTAATAATAATAATAATAATAATAATAATAATCACCATAAGTAATTAATATTATTATTAATAATAATAATAATAATAATAATAATAATAAATATTTATAATAATACTAATACTAATAATAATAATAATAATAATCATCATCATCATCACCACAAATAAATAAATAATAATAACAATAATAATAATCACCATAAATATATAATAATAATAATAATAATAATAATAATAAATATTAATAATAATAATAATAACTCTTTAAAAATTTATATATATATATATATATATATATATATATATATATATATATATATATATATATATATATATATATATATATATATATATATATAGATATAGATATATAGAGATATAGAGA